TTGACGAGAATTTGTTAAACTATACTGATGAGGAGGGTAAAGATGGAGATGGGAATGAGGATGTGCCTCCTGTAGTCAACATGAGAAAGGTGGTGACTCCGAAACTAAAGTGGCAAGCAAAAAACTATCATTCCATGATTAACTGGAGGAATGAACTCAAGACTGAGCCTCCTTACATTGCTTCTCTGTCAAATCTACAGGTTAATGACATTCTTGAGACACCATTAGTGGTGCCCAAGTGGCCAAACAGCACTCAGGCGGTCGAGAGAGGCATAAAAGTGATGACTGAAGCTTGCACTGAAGTGACGGGATACGAATCGAGAGATGGATATATTAGGCAAAGATTATTGTCTAGGAAAATGATGCCAAGGTTCCGCACAAAAAAGAATTTCAATATGAACTTGTAATGATTTTCTATACGGTGTACCTGTAAAATAACATGTGAATTAAATCGATGTCACCCATGTAAAATTTATCATTATCCTGGAAAACATTAAATAACACCTAATTTTTGGTATACACTAAAAGTTGACAAAAAGTCGTTCACGATGCGGCAGGGTAAGTATGCATGAAATGGCATGAAATTTTGCACAGGTGTTTGATACAGCCATACAAACGATGCCTGAAAAGTGCAGCCTGCAACTCAAATAAAAGTGTTTTTTCCCTGCCCCCTATTGTACAGTACATTATGATTCACCATTCCTAGTACGATTTAGTGTGACAAGGATTATTCTCAGTAACACAGAGCGATACTAATAACCTACAGAGGAAAACTGGGGAAAAAAGATAAATTAAGAAAATCTGAATTTCTCGGTCAAAACTAGGACAGCAGAGTGAATTTTAAATCCCATCCTGCCAGTAGGGGACACACGCACAATTATCTTGGTGCAATGAAATTACATCTAGTAAGGTGTGATTTTAAAGGAAGTCACCCCAGTATTGGGGTAATTTCTTCCTCGAAATAAAGTGAGTGGTTAGGTTACAGAGGTTGGCATCACCACGGGCGTCCGCAGGGTGGAACACTTGCACCCCTAAGAAAATAAGAATTCTTTATCTGCAATTTATGTTCACACCAAATATTACAAGTTTTGGTAAAGGTTTACGAAACCTTTATCACCAGAAAGAAATGTGCGATTTGGTTTACATTTTTTGTACACACTATTAGCATGGGGGTCTGCCCACATCGTCAACAACCCGCTTCGTCCACTATTTTTAACACGTTTCGTCTCCACTGCTTTATCCCTTTCGTCACCCCGTTCATTCCCATCATTATATACACGAAAATAGCTGTTGCTTGGGATATAAAATAATAAAAAACACGAAGAAAATTTATTAAAGACAAAAAACAATAATAAAAACATTGTTAATGCCCCTGCAATCATCTCGCTGCTCGGTGGATTATACGCTGGTGCCAAATCCCCTTCATTTGTTCTGTATTTTGTTTATTTACTAGTGTTTTAATATTTATTTTATCAAGTAATTAATATCATGTAGAATGATAAAACAATACTTCTCGAGTCATCTGTATGCGTGTGTAATTTCTATAAAATAATAACTTACAATTTGTCACGAATACCAGCGACTGTTAGTGTGGAAACGGAATTGATATTGGTGACGAACCAGGTCGGTGCCGATGTGGATTGGCAACGAAATGGGATGTATCCATAGCATGATATTAAAGACAAATGGAAACGACAATACATAGAACCTGACCTAACATACCCATAGGTTGGGTATGTTAGGTTAGGTTTTATTAGGTTCTATGTATTATCATGTTAATTTATGTGTTAAACAAATTGCCTTAATATTGAGGTTGAAATATATCAGCAATGGCGAGGAGGGATTAGTGGAAGCGTTCACCATCATTTAAGAAAAGTCTCTTGAACAGAGATTCTGCGAGGTAAACAAAAATAACGGCGCCGGGAGGAGAATTGTGAAGCGGGATAGAGTAAATACAAAATAATAAATTATACGAGAAGTTGTCGTTTTTTTTTTAATACTTAAAATCATCAAAACAATAATTATATAAAAAATAAAGAAAATCAACATGGCAAATAACGGTAACTTCCAGTGATAACGGTTTCGTAAGCATTTACGTAAGTCTCCCGGTCCAGATGGGTTACATCCAAGAGTCATTAAGGAGATGATGGAGGAACTACTTCAGCCACTGAGGATCTTGTTTGAAAGCTCTTTTCAAGAAGGAAATATACCCGAGGACTGGCGTATTGCATATATCACAGCTATCTATAAGAAGGGAAGTAAAAGTGAACCAGGAAACTACAGGCCAGTCAGTCTAACTAGTGTAATCTGCAAATTAATGGAGTCAATATTACGGGAAGAGATGATATCCCATATGAAAAAATATGGATTGTTTATTAATAAACAGTTTGGCTTCATTTCCGGCAGGTCAACAGTCCTACAGTTGATTAGGGTACTAGACAGGTGGACGGAAATTATCGATGACAGTCAGGCTGTGGACATGGTGTATTGTGACTTCATGAAGGCTTTTGATAGAGTACCCCACAAAAGACTATTAGAAAAAGTATCTAGTTATCGCATTGATGGAAAATATCTTGATTGGGTAAGGAATTTTTTAACTAAGAGAAAACAGAGGATTGTGGTAAATGGAGAAGTATCTGACTGGAGAGAGGTCACTAGTGGGGTCCCTCAGGGTTCTATCCTCGGCCCCCTGCTGTTTGTCCTTTTTATCAATGAGCTGCCTGAGGCAATTAAACACGACCGTGAGGTATATCTATATGCGGATGACACAAAGATTTTTAGGAAAATAGAACGAGATGAGGATTGTGACATGCTGCAGGAGGACCTGGATGGGATCAGGGGTTGGACTGAGAAGTGGATGCTGAACTTTCACCCAGAAAAAAGTAATACATGAGGATAGTTAGAACAAAAGTTGCTGACCATGGATATCATATGTACACCACGATCAAGAAGACCACTGTAGAGAACGATATAGGGGTGGTCATCGATGATAAGCTGATGTTTTCTGACCAAAATCTAGCTGAGAAAATCAACAAGGCTAATAAAATAGTGGGCATTATTAGAAGAACTTTTGTTCATCTGGATGCACCTATATTCAAGGCTCTGTACAATGCTCTGGTTAGGCCACACCTTGAGTATGCTAATCAAATTTGGTGCCCATATCTCATTAAGGATATTGAAGCAGTAGAGAATGTACAGAGGGCTACCAAATTAGTACCACAGATCAAGGATTTATCTTATGAGGAAAGACTAAGGAAATTACAGTTACTGACACTGGCGTACAGAAGATCTCGTGGGGACCAAGTGGAAACATACAAGATAGTGTGTGGCATTTATGACCAGGCATGTACAGCAGGAATGTTTCAGATGAGGGAGGCTGACACTACCCGGGGGAACTCAAAGAAGATCTACAAAACAAGAGCGAGGCTAAATCTCAGAAAACACTCGTTCACGAGTAGGGTTGTCAACAACTGGCATAGTTTACCTGAGTGGGTAGTGAATGTGGAGACGGTGAAAAAGTTTGAAACAAAATTAGATAAATACTGGAAAATTCAACAACAAGCATATAATTTTAGGGCACAATTATCCGCCACACACGGGGCCGACTAATTACCCAAATGTAGCCGGAATGAAGTCAAATAATGGTCCTAGATGAATAAATCGGACTGCTAATCACTTCTCGACTAGTATTTGGTGTCACAAAGTCACAAAAAAATTGGAAAACTTACTTTAATCTGAGTTAATAGATCGCGTGCATGTACCAAGGGAGCGAGGAATTACCCAAATGTACCCAAATGTAGTCGCAATGAAGTCAAATAATGGTCCTAGATGAATAAATCGGACTGCTAATCACTTCTCGACTAGTATTTGGTGTCACAAAGTCACAAAAAATTGGTAAACTTAATTTAATCTGAGTTAATAGATCGAGTGCATGTACCTAACCTAACCTAACCTCGACTAGTATTTGGTGTCACGAAGTCACAATAAATTGGTAAACTTAATTTAATCTGAGTTAATAGATCAAGTGCATGTACCTAACCTAACCTAATCTAATTTAACCTAACCTAACACAACACAACACAACTCAGATTAAATTAAGTTTACCAATTTTTTTTTACTTTATGACACCAAATAATAATCGAGAAGTGATTTACAGCCCGAATTATGCTTGTACGACCATCATTTGACTTCATTGCGGCTACATTTGGGTAATTCCTCGCTCCCTCGGTACATGCACGCGATCTATTAACTCAGATTAAAGTAAGTTTTCCAATTTTTTGTGACTTTCTGACACCAAATACTAGTCGAGAAATGATTAGCAGTCCGATTTATTCATGTAGGACCATTATTTGACTTCATTGCGGCTATATTTGGGTACATTTGGGTAATTAGTCGGACCGGCCACACACAGCCATCGTCTGAGTAGAGAAGAGGCTATTGAGCTGGAGTCACAGGCGTGAGCCTCTTCCAGAAGATCATCTGTGAGTATCTGTGAGTGAGTTAAAGTGAACTGTTTGTTCCATGACATAACCACAAGGGACACTTGTGATAAGCCAGTACTTTTGACAATTCCTTTCGCGGCTAGGCCTGGCTGGCCGACTCTGGTAAAACCGTCATCACAGAGGAACCGTGTATACTGTACATGGTGATAAGTAATAATGAAGCCACTGCCACTATTCATCAAAACTGAAGGCTTTGAAGAATTGAAAAGCCTATTTTTGGTGGATGTATCTACGTACGTAGCTAATGTAGGAGCGCTAGAGGACCCCTTTAGCACTCCTCCAGAGGGATGACCTGGAGTCCCAAGTCATCTAAGTTACGAAAACTTAGGCTACACTGGCAAACTTCCATTAAACCTTAAAGTCGTTGCAGCAGGCACCCCTAATTCCACTGCCATTTTCTATGGGGTGCAGACACACATCTGCTGGAAGCGGCCCCCTCACTCTGCCTCCAGAATTACACGTTGGGTAGTATACATGCACTACACTGCCAGCAGTTACCTGGCAACACGTGATAAGGAGTCAACAGCGGGTGAAGTGAAGACTGAGGCAGAGGCAGCTCAGGCAGCTGATTAAACTGAGTAGGCAGAGCAAAGGTGGGAGTCCAATAACGGGGGTCGAACACCGCCATCTGTTGAGCCCACGCAAAACTATTTTTGTATTCTCTCTCTCTCTTTATATATATATATATATATATATATATATATATATATATATATATATATATATATATATATATATATATATATATATATATATATATATATATATATATATATATATATATATATATATATATATATATATATATATATATATATATATATATATATATATATATATATATATATATATATATATATATATATATATATATATATATATATATATATATATATATAGTTGAAAAGGTGGTGTAATTCACATCTTCAAGGGTGAGTACAGACTAGTCTGTACTCACCACTGAAGATGTGAATTACACGAAAGCGCTTGGGAACTTTGTGTTTCTTCCTTCTTTGTTGTTATCAGCATATACCTGGATCACGCGTGTGGGGTTATGAGATATTGGTTCACACTCAGGATGGGATGGAGAAAGGAAACTCACAATGTGCTCACTGTATACATATTGTATTTTGATGTACAATGCAGCTTGTTGCTGGGTAGGTAGCATGACTAGGTAGCGTTGAGTAGAGAGAGCTGGGTGGTGAGGGTGCCCAGAATGAGGGCACTCGGCTTGAGGGATGCCAAGGTCGCTGGCGGGAGCGGGAGCCGCCAGGCTGGCGCGGAGGAGGAGGTGTTGCTTGCTGGTGGCACTGTGTAGAAAGAGCTGGTCACAGGGGTGTCAGGCCTTATAAGGCGGGGGTAGGCGTGGGTAGATAGTTGACCCCCGCTCCGTAGGCGGCGCTGGAGGCGTAGGCTGGGGCATTCGAGAAGGTTCGGTGCTTGTAAGGGAGAAATCCACTATAATACTCCCCTTCCCCTCCAGGAGCGGCGGGAGGCTGGAGGTTGGTAGGGTTGCGTGCCACATGTGAGGCAGAACGGGCGGTGCATGCCTCATGTGAGACACGAGGGCGTGGATGAGCCGGCCGCTAGGGGGGACAGCTCTGTCTAGATACACGAGATCTGTGGGAGAAAAGAGGGAGAAGGAGGGTTGTGGAGGCGATGAATGCTGTGCTTCCCTCGCGACAGGTACAGAGTCCTCAGATGCGCCTGCTGGGGTGTGTGGGCCTGGGTCAGGAGCAGGGGCTGCGTTAGGAAGAGTGTCCATGACAGCAGCAGGGTGCATGAAAGCAGCAGGGTCCACGACAGCAGCAGGGTGCATGACAGCAGCAGGGCCCACGACAGCAGCAGGGTGCAGGACAGTAGCAGGGGGTACCTGAGGGAGATAAGAGGGGTGTATGGGTCCGCGCCAGGAGCAGGGGCCGCGTCAGGAGGAGCGGCAGGGGGTACTGCTGGGCCGGGGGCGGCGTCTGAGGCAGGACGGGTGTGTTGGGGTCAGTAGGACGTGGTGCTTGGGGCAGGAAGAGGAGTGGCTGTCTGCTTAGAGTAGCAGAGCTGCTCTAAGGTGTCTAACCTGCTATGTAGAGAGTAGTTGTAGAGCCGATGAGAGCTGCCTCTGCGTGGGTAAGCAGGACTTCCATGTTGCTTGAAGACTGGGAGAGTGATCAGTTTCTCCTCTATCCTGTGTGAGTGCGAATCTCCGGGGGTCACCATTTGTGGGGTTATGTGATATTGGTTCACACTCAGGATGGGATGGAGAAAGGAAACTCACAATGTGCTCACTGTATACATGTTGTATTGGATGTACAATGCTGCTTGTTGCTGGGTAGGTAGCATGAGTAGGTAGCGTTGAGTAGAGAGAACTGGGTGGTGAGGGTGCCTAGAGGAGGAACACGCGGCTTGAGGGACGCCAAGGTCGATGGCGGGAGCGGCAGCCGCTAGGGTGGCGCGGAGGAGGAGGTGTTGCTTGCTGGTGGCACTGGGTAGAAAAGAGGGTGATACGATACGAAGTCATTAGTTAAGAGGTGAAAGAAGATTATTAGGAATTGAAGAAAAAGTGGTGAAACTGAAATACAGTAGGAGTAGAAAGAATCTGGGCTCAACCAGATCGCTTCATCCTTCTTATTGGTGTTTTGTCTTTGTTCTGCTCCCTTGGGTCGTCAGACCTTTGTATTAATATTGGTTTATTTATATAATGCTGCTTATTATTATTATTTTTGTTATTGTTGGAGTTAGTGAGCCCGCCCAGGTCCTTGTGTAACTGGGAGGGTAGCACATTTTTTTTTTTTTTTTTTTTTTTTTTTTTTTTGTGTTAGTTAAGTGTTAGTTGTGTTAGTCTAAAGGTACACTGTATGGAGAGGCCTGCCAGGTTCTTAGTGGAGCTGGTTGGTCACTCTCATCTTTATTCCTCTAGTAATGTTTTATGTAGAAATGTGTATATTGAGGCAGGAGGTGGTTCAATTACTTCTTCCTGGCTGATATAACTGGGAGGGTAATCACATTATTATTATTAGTATTATTATTAATATTATTATTATTTTTTTTTTTTTTTTTTTTTTTTGAGTTAGTGAGCCCGCCCAGGTCCTTGTGTAGCTGGGAGGGTAGTCACATTTTTTTTTTTTTTTTTTACTAAGATGTGGTCACAGCGGTGTCAGGCTTTATAAGGCAGGGGTAGGCGTGGGTAGATAGTTGACCCCTGCTCCGTGGGCGGCGCTGGAGGCGTAGGCTGGGGAATTCGAGAAGGTTCGGTGCTTGTAGGGGAGGAATCCACTACACGCGCACCCACAGTAATTTACTTATATATATATATATATATATATATATATATATATATATATATATATATATATATATATATATATATATATATATATATATATATATATATATATATATATATATATATATATATATATATATATATATATATATATATATATAGCGTTTATTTATATACGCATATATTAAGTATGCAACCATATACAGTATATTACTTTTACTTTTTTTTTTACTTTACTTTTTACTTTTTTTCTCTTCACCACTGATCGGCTCGTTAGCCGCTTGGGCGATCGGTCACGTCTCTGATTACTTTTCCTTTTCATTTATCCTCTTCACCAAAAAATCGGCTCGCTAGCCGCCCGGGCGATCGGTCACGTCTCTGTCACGCACTGGTGGCAAGTAATGGGCATGCACCGGCTCCTGAATGTACCTGAACCCGCTACAGTGTTGGTCAAGTCTTGTCTTGAAAGAGCTCACACTCGGTGCAGTCACAACACTTTCTGGTAGATTGCTCCAACAGTTTACAACCCTCACTCAGAAAAGGTTTGCCCTCACAGTTTTCTGGACTTGCGGCCTCTTCAATCTTGAGCTGTGACCCCTTGTGGGGCGAGCGTCCGCCAGCTCCTAGTAAGGACACTCGACTGAGTAGTGTTCCCTGTGATGCTTATACACCTTAACTAGGTCACCCCTTGCCCGTCTGTAGTATAAGCTAGGCAAGTTCAGGCGCTCCAATCTCTCAGGGTAGCTCAGGTGCCGAAGTGCAGGCACCAGTCTGGTGGCTCTCCTTTGAACATTTTCGACCAACTGACAGTCCCTAGCATATCTCGGGGACCAGACGGGATGACAGTACTCCAGATGGGGAAGCACTTCACTCTTGAAGATCGTTACGAGGGACGGACCGTCTAGATATCTGAACAACCTTCTTATAAGACCCAATAATTTATTTGCCTGGTTTACCTTCTTCTCGCAATGGCCCGAGAACTTCAACTCATTGTCAACATACACACCTAGGTCCTTCTCACATACAGTCTCAACTAGTGCAGTTTCTTCATCCTGTTAGGACATATGACACGCCTCCTTACCGTTGGTACGCCCCAGGTGCATCCTCTTATGCTTCGTGACATTGAATCTCAGCAGCCATTTCTTCGACCATTCCTGGAGCCCACAGAGGTTCTTCTGCAGCTCTTCACAGTCCGCTTGGTTCTTGATTTCCCAAAATAACTTGGCGTCATCGACAAATATCTGTATGGAGGAGTGCGCAACATCAGGCATGTCATTTATGAAACAAACAAACAACAGAGGCCCAATACACTGGCCTGTGGTATCCCACTTGTGACAGGTACGAATGACAATTTCGTGCCATTTATCAACACACACTGCTTGCGGTCATGTAGAAAGTCTTCTATCCTCGCTTGGACATTTCCCAGAATTCCGTACCGTTCCAGTTTGATTTTCAGCCTTTCGTGGGGTACACTGTCGAAAGCCTTGGCAAAATCTAAGTAAATATTGTCGATATTACCACCCCGTTCCAGAATATGGGTCCAAATATCCAATACCTTGAGCAATTGTGTTAAGCAGGAGCGCCCCGGCATAAAACCATGTTGACAATCCTTTACAAGGTTGTTTCGTATTAGATGTTCCATTGTGGCATCTCTGATAATACTCAAAAGTACTTTACATATTATGCTGGTCAGGCTCACCGGTCTATAGTTGTTCGTGGAGTGACGATCGCCCTTCTTGAAGATAGGACTCACATAAGCCACTTTCCATTCACTGGGGACCATTTGTTCATCCAGGCATTTACAAAACAGGATCTTCAGGGGCTCGGCAAGCTCGTTGCACAACTCTCTCAGCACTCTAGGATGCACTATGTCAGGGCCGGGACTCTTATGAACCTTTAGCCTGGACAGTTTATTTCTAATACCCTCTTCTGTGAACACAATGTGGGTCAGTGCTGTGTTAAACCGTCTGTCCTCAAACGCAGGAAGGTTAATTGCATCCTCTCTTGTGAACACCAAGGAAAAGAAGCTGTTCAATGCCTCAGCTTTATCCTGGTCAGAATCTGCGTAACTACCATCTTCAAGCCTCAGGTTTTCAATCTCTACTTTGCATAGCGGTAAAACGCCTTTGGGTTTGACGACCTCGCTTGCAACTAGCCTCCGGAACTCCTTTTCAGCCCTTCTACACACTATCTTTGCTTGGTTTCTGGCTCTTGCATACATCCTCCAATCTTGCTCATCGTTTGACCCAACCCACACCTTGAATTTCTGGGTTTTCTTTTTAATTCTGTCGACCGCCGCATGGTTCATGTGTAGGGATCCCCTCGTATTCCTAGAGGGACTGGGTTTGGTCTTGGGTATATATTAATCAATC